GCAAAAGAAACGGAGCCGAACACGAAGACACTTTTTGAGCTCGAAATATAAACGACTCAGCTCGTGTTCGGCTCGTTTACAACCCTACCTATATATGTGTTGCAAAATAGTAAAAGCCGGCAAATGAAAATGATAATACTAATACAAATATTCCACTAATTTCCAAAAAATCAAGCCAATAAAATAATAATAATAATAGTAAAGCATTGGGACATACCTTATCTTCATCGCAAGAATTAGGGCAATACTCCTGGTCAATAACAATCGGATTACTAACTTCATTCATCACTATATCCGAAAACACAATATTCGTAGCTTTTATCGGCGGCGAATCTCTCCACGTCTTAATCCTCACCCCATTGGTGGTTCCAGTAAGCGTGCAGTTCAAAACCCTAATCCCATCCACTCCCTTATCTTCCCTGTACTTCCCCAAGCTCCCAACGCTGATTCCATGGCCAGTCCCACAGTGCACCTTGTTGATCGTTACATTTGAAGTCCCGGGCCCAAGGGAGATGCAGTCGTCCCCGGTCGAGATTCGGGACCTCGATATTCGGATATCCGACGAATCTCCGACGTGGATTCCGTCGGTGTTGGGGCTGTTTCCGGGGGCGGTGATGTGAAGGCCGATGACGGAGATATGCTGTGATTGGCCTATGATCATGTGGAAGAACATGGGATCGATGAGGGAGATGGCACGAATCTTGGCGTTCATCACGTGGAGAAACTTTAACGTCTGCATGCATGCATGGATCATGGATATGGTTAGTTAATTATGGTACTTAATTCAACCAAGCTATTCTTATACATTTATAAATATAATCTTGGTACATAAGAAAAAATAAGAAAAAAACTCTAAGAGAAATTTTCAAGTAAACTTTATGGTGGTTATCTATATTCTAATTTAAATTTCGATTCATTTCAAAAACAATAAAATCAGATAATTTCAAAGAATATATTATGAATCACACATCATTGATCCCTATCTTGAATGAGGTCCCCGGAAGATCTCCTTTTATCCTTGACAGAATATCGGTCCCATAAATATTTGCCCAATGAGTTCTTATCATGATTTTCTCTTCTCCATCAAATGTTATCAATTTCTTCAAGACCCCATTTGAGGAAAAAGTTTTACATACAGAGTCCTGACGCGACTCCAATAATACAACGCCAAGTGTATTTTAGTGACCCTCCTTTAAAAAAAATTATAAATTTATCAGTTGAAATGCAAGCGATTTTTTTTTAAAATTTGTAAATTTAACTTAATTTTATTGGAGTCCAAATGCAGAGCTACACTGAACTCCAGACATAAACTTTTTTTTCATTTGAGAGAGCTTCGATTGTGATTCCTTCACATGACAAAAGCCTCATTGATGCCTGCTCGAAGCGAGCTACGATCATGATCCCTCCACACCATCTCACTCCCTTCTATTCACATCATAAACGACCCCAAACATGAGCCCAAGTAATACATCATTCCCATCAACGGTTACCCTAAGAAAGCCTCATCACAACTTCTCCACCCAAAATTCCAACCCTACATCAAAACATTAATCTCCCAAATCTTAAACACATTGTACTTAAATTAAACTACATTTATAATGCCATGGAACCTAACCAAACTTACCGTGGGAAGACTGCTGCCATGTCTATGAGGCCAAACCGCACGCCCCTGACCATCAAACGTGCCCAATCCAGTAACCAACAAATTGTTCACATGCCTGAACGCAATCCATTCCTTATGCTGAAAAACCCTAAGATCATTCGGAGCCCTAACCACTCCCTTCACCTGAACCACCATTGGACTCCTGCAAGGTCCTCTGAATGAAACCGGTCCAGCCAAAAAAGTGCCCTCCGGAATCAGTACCCTACACCTTACCCTAAACCCACCGTACCATCCACAATCTGCAGCACATGCTTCATTCCAAGCCCTAGAAAAAGCTGGAGCACTATCAGTTCTGCCATTAGGGGATGCACCGTAGCGCAGGACATTGAATACTTTGTCTGTAAGGATTGCTGCACAGCTGTTGAGATTATATGCTGCAGTGCAGGCTAGGATCAGCAGAAAGCTTCTTGAATCCATGGTTACTTGTTTCATTTCTTGTGGTTTAGGGTTTTCTTCTTCTTATTCTATATATAGGAGAGGAGATGAATGTGTTGGTTGGTTTATGATGTGTTGTAATTTTGGAACCTGCTGTTGCTCCCCGTCGCACATAATTAACCATTGTCTATATATGTTTGGCTCTACTTAACGGTAACAGGAGTGGAATTTTGTAACAGATTTTTATTATTGTTTTCTGGCTGTTTTGTTTATAAATGGTAGGTTGCATTGTAAGGTTGAAGGTGTAATATGCTTTAATTATGGAGAAAATATTGCATCAGGACTCCGCACGTAGAGTTACGTGCGGAGTCCAATGAAATCACGTCATTTAACAGTGACAGAAAAAAAAAAATCTGTCCGATAACACAAGAGAATATTCCTCCTATATTATTCAAGTGTTATTGTGTGTTATTCAAGTGTTATTGATATGTTATTGTGTTATTATAACACCTAAAGTATTCCCAGAACACAATAGTATCTGAATAACATACAATAACACCTGAATAACACAGAATAACACGAGGGAATATTTGTCCGTATTACCAGACCGATTTTTTTTTCTATCTCCGCACGTAACTCTACGTGTGAAGTCCTGATGCAGTTATGAAGAGAGAAACGAAATTTTTAAAAAGCAGTTTTTTTTTATCGCTAAATAATCCAATTATATTTAGTTTAAAATCCACTGTTAAATGTTTATTGGCTCTATCAAACTTGGCATCTTTATAATCATTTTGACAACAGATTTTCGTTGGTCAAATTAAATGTTTAAATAATTATAGATTTAATTAGAAAAACTACTATTCTATTGTTGTTTCAATTTTAATATTCATAAATCATACACATTAATTTCAGTCTATGGTAACTTGTACGCCATCAACAAATTGTCATCATTCAGAATGAATCTCGAGGTGAGGGCATGAATCTCGGGACAATTTTTTTCAAAAAAAATTCAAATTCATTAAAAATTATATAGAACTCTAACTTCAAAAGAGTTACACTCAAATCTGGCTAGATGAGACAAACGCAATGACACCAATATTGACACAATCCGAGTTAAATCGAGCCTACTTCGAGTCGTTAAACCATTTTTTGTTGTGTTTGGTGCCAAATTGAAAGGTCAAACGTATTCCATATCTGATAAGCTTATATTCAAAAAGCCCAAGGTCACTCAATTTTCACATCGTTAAAGCACTCAAATGTCCGTAGAACGTCGTCTGATCAAGGGGATCACTCGTGTTCATCTGGTGGAGTGATTCAGATTCTTTCCTTATTTGTCAATAAGCCTTGTTTAGACGCTATAAATAGAGCCACACTCTCTTCATGAAAGGGGGGAAGATATGAGCTTGGAGGAGGATCAGGAAGAGAAAGACTGAAGTATAGTGCTCGATCTGCACCAAAGATTTACTTAATGCTTCCTATACATGCTGCCACTGACCATCATCGATCACCACTCGTCGGCCACTATTTGTTGCCCTTGCTTATTGCAATGAAGTACATTATTGAATAGAGACCAACATTGTGGAGTAACAAAGAACTGCGAGGAGTAGCGGCCAACGTCAAGGAGCACTTGAGCATTCTTCAACATGACATGTGAAACACTGTGTGGCAAATTACTCTGAGGATGGTGTACCTAAGTTTTGGCAATTACAATCATTGCTAACCTTTGTGCAATGAGTCTGCCTGCATTCAAACCCTGTAACTTTCTGATGCTTTCCCACCTATGGGGTAAGGGTCTATATTTGCACTCATCATGCTATATTAGATTGTGTTTTATTAGGTTAGGCTCCATGATTTATTTCCTTTTGGTGTTTTCCTCATAAAAACTTCTAATGTCTATCCCTATTATTATTATTCATTAAGTGTCGACTGGATTCTCGTACAAAGGTAAAATGATAATTCATTATTCTACTAATGTGAAATATCTAACAAACATTAGTTTGGCTCCATCTGTGAGAAAAAGAATCACACCACCGAAGGACTTGAAAACTTCTTAAATGGCCACTAGACATAGTGCTCGCAATAATGGAGCCTCATGCTTCAACACCCGCCGCTCTAGGCGACAATCACAAATCCCGGGACATCAAGTCTCTACCTTTTCCCTCCTAAAAGACATTAACCTGTCAGAGAAGGCACCTCAGGCCCCTCTATAGAATACCAAATGTACAAAATGGAGGAGTCAAAGAATAAGATTATACTTTATCTTATATTTAAGGTTCAACAGCTGATACTCGCACCGCTAGATGAAGCATATTTACCACAAGATCAATAACTACACGGAATGCCCCCTTGTGAGTACTCGTACACTCCCTCATCTGAGCCAGAATGTTGACCTGCTCAATCATATGAATTTTACTCATATGTCCCTTCGCAGCTCACTTAGCATATTCCTATCTTATTGTCGCTCTTGATCATGTCATCTATGATGAGCTATGGTGTCTGGTTCAAGAAGAGTTCCCTCTAGAAGAAAAAGATCGTTTCCTCACTCATTGAAACTTCTAAGATTTTCCTCCCTTTGGTATTATGGTCCGTCAGCACCCCATCCCTACAGGATTCAAGCTTTGAAACATTGATTCTTATGAGTGGTAACAAATCCTTATAAACACATTAATTGTTATCACACCATCATGCACATTCAACATGCTTCTGATGCTTGATCTTCTTTGTCGAGTGTTTCCTTCCACTCTTTTAGATCAAGGTCGCACGTGGTTCCATTTATTGTAAGAGGCACTATCCACGCCTTAAATGAGCTCACTAGATTATCTGTGAAACAGTTCATTGAAAATAAGAGGATAATCAAAGATTCATCTCATCTTTCAGAAATTTTTCAGAACGAAGGAGAATCGCTCAATGAACTCTTCAATATAGTTTTCACTAAAGCGCATCTAATTCCAGTGATGGATTCTGATTTACTAAGACAAGTCTTCCTTGGAGGGCTTAGTCAGGGACCTTTCTACTCATCATTGATGTGAGAGACAGTATATTTTATGTGGAGTAAATATGCATAATTTTCCTATATGTTGACATTTATTTTTTGTGTATTTTATGATTGTGACTGTTAAGAAAGGTATTTTGGTCTGTTGTGCAAGTTATAGATTTTAACCCACTTGGGTAAGAAAAAGAAGCATTTTTGGGAGCCAAATTATAGAAATTCGGGCTGGCCCACTCGTTCCCGAGTTGGAGCACACTCACGCCAAGCAATGCTCATGGGGCACTCACTCATTTAGAACATTATCCTTTTTAACAACTATCACATAGATAAATTCCTAGGAGAACCACAAAAACACACTAAACTTGAGTCACAGAAGTATGGGCCACATCATCTCTTAAGGACACTCAAAACTCATGCATCCAGTTAATTTCCGATCTTGTTGTTTAATTTTCTCACTATTTTCTTAGGATTATAGATTATTTTTTTGCTCTTGTGATCAACTTAAATTAGGTTCAATAGGTTAGTAAATTAATGATTTGCCTATTGGGATTACATTTTAACCTTTTGCTCACTGGATTGATTATAGACTCGAAAATCTTTGTATTACTTGATAGTTATATTTGCTTGTTTGATTTGTCTCGCAGTAACTTTCAACCATCAAGTTTTTGGTGTCATTGTCGTGAAAATGTGTCAAACAATTTTTATGACTTCAGGATAACTTTAGTTGAACAACTTAGAGTTTAGCTTTGATTTTTTTCTTGTTCTTGATTTTCCTTTGTGCTTATTAATATTACACTTACATTGCTACATTGCTATTTTGGTTACAAGTGCTGAAAAAATCCAAAAAAATAAAGAAAAATTAAAAAAAAACCAAAATAGAAAAAAATAAATATTTTTGTTGCTTGCAATTTTTTGGTTTTTTTTCTTGCATGTCTTTTGTTGTGTGACTTAAGGACTGTGTTTCTACCTGGCCTTAGTCTATGATCACTATACCTCAGCACTTAGCATATGAGTAGGGTGAAAGTACCAACTTTTGCACCCTTTGATCCAGAAATTGAGCTGACCTTTAGACAACTTAAGAGAGCACAAGCACCACAAGAGACCCCCTTATAGATGGCCAACCCTTAGTATAACACCATGAAGCCTAATTAGGGAGTATGCCAACTCGTTGGTAGAGGAGATCCAAATGAGCATCAACTACCTTATTGTTGAGACCAACACTTATGAGTTGAGACCCACCATAATTCAAATTGTGCAAAAGCAACCAATTTGGTAAATTACCCATGGAGGACCTTAATCTTCACTTAGCAGACTTCTAAAACAATGTGCCACATTTAGTTATAACAATGTCCTCAGTGATGTAGTTAGACTAAGGTTGTTCCTGTTCTCTTTGAGAAACAAAGCCAAGATGTAGTTGAAATTTCTATCTTTATGAACCATCACTACTTGGACTAACCTGATATATAAGTTCCTTGCCAAATACTTCCCTCCATTTAAAATTGACCAGCTTAGAAATTTCAACACCTTAGTTACTCAAATAGAAGGAGAGTCAATTTATGATGCTTGGAAAGGGTTTAAGGAGTTGCTTAGGAGGTGCCCAAACCATGCCCTACATGAATATTTTATCAATCAAACCTTCACAACAAGCAAGTAACTTTTTAAGGTCCGTTATAGGTATTGTAGTTTGGGAATTTCTGATGTCAAAGCTTAAGTGTACTAAATAAAATAAATCATCTCTTATACCCATAAGAGGGAAAATCACTAATTCTATACATCGAGATATTATATTATTTTTAAAAAAATATCTCTGATCATTTAGATAAGAATCTTCCGAGATCTATATTGTATACACAACCCATCAACAAAA